TCCTCCCTCCCTCCCTCCCTCCCTATCTATCTATCTATCTATCTATCTATCTATCTATCTATCTATCTATCTATCTATCTATCTATCTATCTACTGTATCTATCTATCTCTTATCTATCATCTGTCATAAGCTTCTTTCAGTTTATGTTAGGATTATTTTGTCTAAAAATCATGCATAAAGCAAAGTTGCAAAAAAGAAAGCAAGACTTTGGGCTTTGGGAAAAAGATGTCTTGGTGTGTTCCTAGATTTTGTTGCAAATTATGCTGACACAAATTGTTCAAGAGTGACTTGTTTTTAAATAAAGCAAAATCTTGGATGAAAATAATTAATCACATAATGTTGAATTGTGTAAATCAAATTCACCTAGTGATATATAGCCTCTTTACATTCTTTTTAAGAGTGCTCAACAGCTCAGAGATTTTTATTTTTATTTTTGGAATCAAAATATTGGCTTCCTTGAAACAATTACTTAAGGAATTTACTTTGGGGTCTCTCTCTGGCAAGGACTGTTTGACCACATTTAGACACAGAAGAATGTGAATGCTTACTTCAGTCGATGGAGATCTGCATGGGATGCATACAGGCCATGATCAAATCTTTCCCGTAGAACAGACCACTTTGTGGCACAATATTCCTGAGGAAAAATATTACGGAAATAAAGATACGCAGGTTATTTATACAAATGCACATACAGATGTAATAGTGCAGTTGCTCAAAATTGATCAGTTACCACTCAGTTATTCTGGTTTCTATTTTATTATCGTTATTATTTCCTATATAGAGATGAGTTATCATCTTAAATATTTATTTCCTGATTTATTGACAAATTTTGGCTGCCCTGTTACTTCTGGTTACACTATATACAATAAAGAGCCTTTTAAAATCAATATTACCATACGAGAGACTATAACATTCTGACATGGCAGATATTCTGGCATTGCAGAATGTGTTAATTTGGGGTTTTTATTGTGCGGCCTGCTTATATGTGTAAATATAAGGTTAGATTTCCTTGTCGTGCTGAAGTTACTCTCCATTTCTCAGCCAAACCTGGAAGTCCTTCCGGACACCGGAATGTAAACGTCGAAACTCCTTGACTCGCCGCAACATTAGAGGAGGGTAGGAATTCTGCAGGAGCCACGTCATCATCTTGAGCCTCTTCGGCATCTTAAGCGACAAGAGCTTCACCTACCCGCCGACTATTTACGGCAAGTCCCTGCAAACGCAGAGCAACCAGAACAAGTACTTTCCGACCTAGACATCGCGGCACAGGTGGAAATCTCCCGTCCCGCGAAGGTACAGAATCTGTCCATTTTGTTGGACTTCGTCCTCGGCATCTAAGGGCAGGCAAGGGTCTAAGTAGGGAGTCTCAGGGGTCAGGCCGATCTGTTTACTGAGAAGCCTGCAAGCAGAATTGATCGAAGGACAATCAATGGAACAGCCAAAGGGAACTGTGTCTGTTAGAAAGATAGAACCTGATTTTTCTGTCCTGACAAAAATACATTCTTTTGTGGGAAGGGGGCGGGGAATAGAGAGCATAACCATCAAGGCCAGGGGTAGGCAACCTTGGCTCTTTTATGACTCGTGGACTTCAACTCCCAGAATTCCTGAGCCAGCCGTGCTGAAAGGAAAGGGAGGGGTTTCCAAGCTGAGCCATGCTGGCTCAGGAATTCTGGGAGTTGAAGTCCACAAGTCATGAAGGGCCAAAGTTTCCCTCATGCTGGCTCAGGAATTCTGGGAGTTGAAGTCCACAAGTCATGAAGGGCCAAAGTTTCCCTCATGCTGGCTCAGGAATTCTGGGAGCTGAAGTCCACAAGTCATAAAAGAGCCAAGGTTGCCTACCCCTGATCTAGGCCAAATCACTGCAGTTCAGTTATAGAGATAGGTGCGAACAACCAGGTCCACATGTGCAAAGTTCAAGCTAACTACTTTATTTGTTTTGCCTCTAATACAGGAATCTCCCCAGAGTGATGGCCTTCTCTTGGGAGCAAACAAGACTCCAGGGAATTTGAGGTGTGTGTGTGGGGGGTAAGTCTTAGTCCTTTTGCAGTTGCGCAGTGACTCCAGTTCTGTACTTGGGCCCTCTTCCTTGCCAGGTTGGGTTCTTCCCACCATCAGTTATATTTGGGAAGGCAAGAAGCCATGGGTTATTTCTTGCTTGAACAAGCCATGCTCATCTGACTCAGTCATAACTCTGAGCCACAAGGAACAATGTGTAAAGGGGCTGGTAGCTACAGCTCTCCAAACCAAGCAACTAGCCTGATGACAGGAGACCCAAAGGTGTGGGTCTGACACCATCTACTATCAATTCCTACTTCCAGCTGTTATTTTTCCCCCCCAACTGAACTATGGCCTTTCATATAAAGAGCTTCCCAGCCCCCAATTTAGCTCTTACATTTTGGCATCCAGCAAAGAGTTTTATTTTATATTTCCTGGTAATGTGCTTAATTAGAATGAAGACAGTTCTTCATGCAGTTTTTTTTTATTCTAGTTTACACCTTGCTGTTGCTGTGTCATTGTCATTTGATGAACGTTTTAATTCTGAAAAGCCAAGGATCTAATTGGTCGAAACGTGGCAGAGAAGCATCTTGAAAAAACAAAAAACATCTGGACCTTTCCTGTAAACACTGAATTGCTTTCATACACACGATCTTGGGATGAGCAACGGCAGAAAACAATTGACATCAACTGTGTAGCCGGACATGACAACCAATTGTAATAACTCACGTAGCCTCAAGTCACCATTAGCCAACCCTCGCTTATGCTGCATTTTAAGAGTGGAAATATAATCTCCATTTTTGGGGGCATGTGCCCGTGTCAGAGATTTTATGCGAAGCATTTCAGACAGGTTATAATTTGGAAGCAAATGGATTACACTACAGCACCTGTTTCTCAATACTGTACTGGTGAATATGTTGTCTGCGTATCTCTGCCGAGCAGCGTTCCCGCCGAAGCCCAGAAAAGTTGCCACGTAGACGCGATACACATGTTCGCTCTGATGAGCATCACAGCCCAAGTTGAATTCCGCCAGTAGGTTCTTGGCCACCTCCTCCTGCCGGCCATCAAAGAAAGAGGTTGAGAGGCAGAGTTCTGCTCTGTCGTTTTCATTCCCCAGGTTTTGATTAGTCAAGAGCCACTTTCAGCTCCGTGGGTTTCAAAACCTTTTGTGCAAGATTATTCCTGGCCACAGTTGTTTATAGTAAACACCTGAGCAGTAACCCTTGGGTGGGACAAGTGTGGCCATTGCGATGTTGTCAGGGGCAACTTCCAACAGCTCCAACCATCATAGCTAATACAAAAGGATGTATCTGGAAAGACACTGGTTTGCTGGCCCTGCACAATGGAAAACAACACCGATGCCCAAATATTTGTCAACTATAGGGATAGCTATGCACATGGCCATCAGCCTAAGACTGAAAATCAGGCTTGTCAGATGCTGTATTTTTTCTATCCTGCTCTATGGAGTAGAGAGTTGGTCGCTGACAGAAGGCCACCTGAAGAGACTAGAAGCATTTGAAATGTGGATTTACAGGCGGCTGTTAGTTGACAAGATCAGAAATGAGGAGGTGATAAGCTGCCTGGGAAAGCCCAGGGAAATCACCAAAACAATTAAAAAATGAAAATTAGAATATTTTGGACATGTGATGCGACACTCAGAAAAATACAGCATACTCCATTTAATCCTCCAGGGAAAGATTGAAGGCAAATGAGGTCCAGGCAAAAGTAGAACATCATGGCTTCAAAATCTAAGGGACTGGTTTGGACAAAACTCAGCAGCACTTTTTCATGCGGCTGCTGATAAAAACAGGATCGCCAACATGATCGCCAACGTCCGATAACGGATATGGCACAAGAAGAAGAAGAGGGCCGTATAGACTACGCTAGTAAGTATTACATCTTTCCTTCCTCTACAGTAATTTTTAATAATAATAAATTTATAAAAGTGGGTTTACTATTGCCTGCTTCCTAGGGTTGAGAGAGAGGGCAGGGCCCAAGATCACTCAGCTGGCTTCATACCTATAGCAGGACTCCCATTCATGTATAGCATACAAATAACAGTTCCTATAAATATATTCCTGACAATATTTTAAAAAGGTATTCCGCGACATGTCAACCATTAAGAAATTGCATCAAACGGGAACCGCAAGCTTAGTTAACGGTGCATCATTTTCTATTGACTATGTACAGCATAAAAACGACCATTTCAAGGGCAAAATTCATCCGCGTAAGCTCTGCGTCGTAAACAAACACATTGCTAACACACTGGCTGATGAAAATGGAAAACAACATTTATGGATTGCTTAGCTGATGGGGCTCAGAGGTTCAACTGCTTTTCTCTTCAGGCGGGGTGAACGGCTCACACACCACGGGGCACAGGACTCATACCGTGCAAAAGAAAACGAATCAATGGACATGGGTTAAAATGCAGGGAGGAAAAAAAAAAAGAAGGAAAGTTGTACAGATAATAACCTGCTGTGAAGAGGCAAAGCTTACAGTTTTAGGGACTTCATAGGCTATTTGAGTTGAAACACCACCCATGTCAAGTATACCCACGGTCCTCTTTCGGACAACTTCTTCTTTGCTTTCGCTGTCAGGAACGTGCACTTCCACGACTGCTTCGTCCTCTGGAAGGCAAGATGGGGAGAGGTGCTGCTGAAAACAGGGCAGGGCATCGTTTCCATTGTTGTGGTATTGTACAGGGAGCCCTGTACAAGAAAACCAAGATCATGGCATCCGGCCCTCTCAATTCCTGGCAAATAGATGGGGAAGAAATGGAGGCAGTGACAGACTTTATCTTCCTGGGCTCCAAGATCACCGCAGATGAGGACTGCAGCCAAGAAATTAAAAGACGCTTGCTCCTGGGGAGGAAAGCTATGGCAAATCTAGACAACATACTAAATAGCAGAGATATCACCCTGCCAACAAAAGTGCGTATAGTCAAGGCCATGGTTTTCCCAGTTGCAATGTATGGATGTGAAAGTTGGACTATAAGAAAGGCTGAGCAACAAAGAATGGAGGCCTTTGAACTCTGGTGCTGGAGAATACTCCTGCGAGTCCCCTGGACTGCAAGGCGATCCAACCGGTCAGTCCTAGAGGAGATCAATCCCGACTGCTCTTTAGAAGGCCAGATCCTGAAGTGGAAACTCAAGTACTTTGGCCACCTAATGAGAAGGAAGGACTCCCTGGAGAAGAGACTAATGCTGGGAAAGATGGAGGGCAATAGAAGAAAGGGACGACAGAGAATGAGGTGGCTGGATGGAGTCACTGAAGCAGGAGGCGTGAGCTTAAACGGACTCCAAAAGATGGTAGAGAACAGGAAGGCCTGGAGGAACATTGTCCATGGGGTCACAATGGGTCGGCCACGACTTTGCAACTAACAACAACAACACAGGGAGCCCAAAACCTACGACCTCAAACGAGGCCCAAATTTCTGTGGCTAAGTGAGACATTTGCTAAGAGAGTTATAACCTTTCTTGCTATGGTTATGTTAAATGAATCACTGCAGTTGTTAAGTTGGCAACACGGTTGTTAAGGGACTCTGGCTTCCCCACTGACTTTGCTTGTCAGAAGGTCACAAAAGGGGGGACGGCGTGACACCCCCCCCGGGGCACTGCAAAAGTCATAAATATGAAAAACGGGTCATAGAAGGCTTCAGTGGGACCGACGGCATCCTTGGGGCAGCGCCATCCTCCAGCACCAGGCGGCATCTCGGGCCAGCGATATCCTCCTGCACCAGGCGTCATGGCAGCGGCATTTAAAGAACCCACACAGGCATGCCCTGGGCTATGGAGGTTACCGTTATTTTTTTTCGTGTATAAGATGCTGCACTTGTATAAGACGCACCTGATTTTTTGAACAGGGTGTTTGCAGGAAAAGATAGCGTCTTATACACGGAAAAATACGGTATGTGAATAAAGCCAGTGAAGGAAGGAAATTGTGCACTAACAACATCAGAGAAATCAGCGGTCCTCAACCTTTGAGGCCTGGTGGCCCAGCTGGAGGGGGAGGGGAACTGGGCCACACGAGCAGTGGGCTGGCATACATTGGGCACAAAGCCCTTGCATGAGCGGTGGGCCACTGTGCACATTCGTCCGTCGGCCTACCACTTGTGAAGTTGAGCTGCAAGCACGGGCACGCTCCAGCCAGCCACTCATGTGGCCCAATTCAGAATAGGACATTGCCTGATAGTGGACTGCAGCCCGGGGTTTGGGGACCTCCGAGATAAATTACTGCTAGTGTTACATATTTTAGCAATTTTTGGAATTAATTAATATTAAGGCCCTTACCTTCATCCATATGTTCGAATTTTCCAAGGACAAAGTTGATGCCAATCCATGCATATACTCCTAGATAAAATGTAGAAGGTACATTTCTAAATATTTTAATATCACTGGGTTGTTTTTGTTTTTTTTAAAATAACACCTTAACAGAAACAAAAAGTACCAAAAAACCCAAATATATATACAAGTGAAAATGCTTCGGAGTTCTGTAAAATTGAAGAAGGCAATGCTCCTTAGCTCATCCCTTATGTCTCACAACCTAATAAATTTGGTTTATTAGGACAAATATTTACAGGGACAAAGTTTTTGCTTGTCGAACTATATCGTTGAATGTTGCCCTAATCCTGCATAAGTCAGGTTCCAGCTCATGTGGAAAATCTTTGCACGTAATAGTTACATATGTAGAGGTTCCTTCATTGCAGATGTTTATTGTGTATCCCTTTAATATCAGGACCTGCACAACATTCATCCAATATTTAATATTTACTTGCTACGTAGATGTAGGGGTGTGGTTCTATGCATATGTTGTTCATAGTATGTTTAGGTGTGTGTCATGTATGTGTTTCACTTCAGAGCGGGCAACTAAATTTCATTTTTGATGTGTGCTGTTGTGCCCACAGTAAAAAAAAATGACAATAAAAGTTATCTTATCTTATGAAAACAGGTAACAGCATCTGCTTTTCTTGCACACTTTGATGAAATATATGAGCAGGTTCAGGCTGGCGTAAAAGGCTGAATATAGGCTGTAACAGGCTGTACAGGATGTCTTAAAGAAGACATTTTGGTACCATATTCTTTGTTGGATTGGACAGTTTCACTCTGGCTAGCTCAGTGATCACAAAACACAGGCTGCTTCTAAATTATTTCCTGATCTTGCCAAAACTAAAAAGAAGAGTCAGTACTTCCAAACGCTGCTACCAGATAATCTCAATAATGAAGCCTCTTTTCCTCATTTTTTTCTAGACAGTCCGTACCCCCCTTTTCTCTGGATACATATTCCATCAGTCTCCTGACTAAAGTTTACTTTTTTTCCCCCAGCCTGTATTCTTACCTTCTTGCTTTCCTGAAATCACTTCAGCGTGAGAATCCGAAAACAGAAAATCAAAATGCACTGGGATATCAGTAAGAAGATCTTCCAGGATTGCCTTTTGCTGGCTGCAAGATTCGAAAGGGATTAAATATAAATTTAGGATCTATTTCTACGGGCAAATCTTTCTATGAAACATTAATAGAAAATGAAGGCACTTAAGTTACCTCTCTGGCAAGATTCTCATCCCTGCGGTACAGAGAATGTATAGAGGGGTTTCTTTGTGCTTTGCACGGGGTATGTGTTCGGCAGCAAAGTTCAGTAGTGGGAAAATATAGTCACTAACTTTCTCAGGAGAGGTAGCAAATTCTGAAATGCCTTGACAGCAAGAAGAGATAAATACACTTAACTATACATTCAACATGAGAAAGTAAACACACTTTTTAATAAGGAGAGTATTTTTCTCACTTAACACCTAAAATGAGAATTCAGTCAAAGGCAAAATATTGCAACTTCTAAAAAGTCATGCCTTGCTAAAATACAGCATGGGCCTACGGATACAGGATGCTATCTTAAAATTACATTCTGTATAGCCGGGGTCTTCAAACCTGGCCCTTTTATGACTGGTGGACTTCAACTCCAGAATCCAGAATCCCTCAGCCAGGCACTTCTGGGATTTGAAGTCCACAAGTCATAAAAGGGCCAAGTTTGAAGACACCTGCTGTAGAGCAATCTCAACTGCTTTAAGTAAGATACTGTGAAAAATTGTCCTGAATGAACCTTGGCCTTTTATGGTAGCATACAAATATTAACAATAAAAAAATAAATAAAAGGAAAACCTGTTTGCATTTTTGAGCTTTTTTTAAGCATTAAGAATCTTAAGAAATAAATGAAAACCAGAGGGACAAATGTGGGGAGACCCAGGTCTTGCAGATCCCAAATAAAAAGGCAGAAAGAATCTGCTGCATTTCAAGAAACAAATATTGCCAATCTTCGGCATGACCGAGTTTCTTAATAGGCAAACAAGCAGCTAAGGAATTGGTATGGCTTCCCCTAGTACCTGGCTTAATTTTCATAACCACTGGTTTTCTGTTTTCATCCCGCATTTGTTTGATGTCAAGTAAATCATGAGGGTTGCCATTATGCCTTGGCCACCAATACACAAAGATCCGAGATCCACTACTACCACAATCCACCATAATGCCGTAATTCAGCTTTGGGTTGCTTGTGTCTGTGGCTTCGGTGTCCGTTACTCGCGCAAGATACCTGGGAAAGAAAACAGAAGAATTGCTCAGAAGCACGTCTCGCTGAAGCCAGGTAGAAACAAGGACAGGACAAAACCCTAATGTCAATCACACTGAACTTGCTAGTTGCGAAAACACCCATGTGAGAGCAATTATACTATTACATTTCACTTGTTTAATGTGGAGCTTCAACTCTTCAGCTGTATCTTTCACCAAGTGACACCGGGCTAGCCACCAACACTCAGCCCGGCCTACTTCGCAGGACTGTTATTGTAGAGATAAAATGAGACCTAGATTTATACCAGTTTAAGTTTGCAGAGAAAATGAGGGGTATTAGCACAATGGATAAGTTTAATGTAAGAGGATCTGTTTCATTCTGTTAGGTACAGCTTTGGATTGGTTTTTAATCCACTTGACAAAGATTACCTGTGCAGCTTTTTGTCCCGGGAGCTGTATTTCAAAACAGAGTAATACAATATGAAAAATGCAGCAGCAAGGAGACCGGTAACAATAATTTGCCGTAATGTGGTATTCAATATTCGTGGACACCCAACAGGGGAAATACTGAAGTGCCATGAAGCAGGAAAAAGGCAAGAGAAGCTGATCCTGGAATGAAAAAACAAAACAAAAACAAAGACATAGGCATCTAAAATTCTGTGCAAGCACCCCACAGATACAATTGTTGGAAGCCAAATTTTGAAATATCTCACTCTTTATTCTAAAAATGAACACTTTTCAGAAAAAAAAGTTAACCTGGCAACTGTTCAATCCAAGGTTTAGAGACATTTCTTTACAAGCACTTTGTTGTATATAACAGGACTGGCAGAAACAGGAAAGGTATCCTCTTAATACAAGTGCTTAGCATACATAATTCAAGTTAATTATTCTTTCTTCCTTAAAGCTATTTTTTTGTATGGCTCATCTGTCAGCCAGCCACACAAGTCATCAGGCAACTAAGAAACATTGGTATCTCAAATTGCACAAGTTTTGGGGGAAAACCTGGAGGAAACGTTAAATTTCTGGCTACTGAAACTTAACAATCAAACACATTTTGACGTTTATTTGATCCCACCAAATTTTCTTGTTTTTACTAATCCAAGATTTGGATACTCACCTACCCATTTCTGGGACTATCTGATCAGGACAACTAGGCCACAGAAAAAGCTAGCTTTTTACAGTTAGCCCAGATTCATAAGGCACAAGATTCATTCCCGTAACCAGTGGAAGAAGTAGGAACTGAAAAATAATAATTAAAAGGTATTATTATTATTATTATTATTATTATTATTTATTAAATTTATATCCCGCCCTTCTCCTTGCGGACTCAGGGCGGCTGACAATCGATTAAAAATACACAAATAACAATTACAGAATTAAAATTAATTAAGAAAAAATATTTAAATATAGTCTAATTAAAATATGATTAAAACCCCTCTAAAAATTGCCCTAGGCCAGTCCCGCTTGTTGGAATAGCCATGTCTTAAGGGCGCGGCGGAAGGAAGGGAGATCAGGGAGGTAGCATTTTCACTCAAGCTAAAAAGAGATGAAACACCACGAAGTCAAATTAATGTATGTTAGCCAACATATCTATAGTCCACCTTTTCCTCCAGGAAGTTTAAGGTGGTATGCATAAAGTTATGCTTCTTTTATTCCTTCTGCCCCCAAGAAGTAAGACTGAGAAATAATATCTAACTCAAGGCATCTCACATATATTCTCCAATTACTGTGTACACTTTTAGCATACAGCAGTCATGGTGTTTTTCATTCTATCTGAAAAAGGAAATGGTGATCAGCTTCGACTGAATAGTACTCTGTAGAGATATGAAGCTTAATCTTTTTTTTCTATAAAATTTTGTCTTCCAAACACAGCTAGACTGAGAATTTTAGAAACAAAACAAAAAACCTTCCCAGTACTAACATTTATAAGCTCTAAAAATACAGCAGAAAAATCAGGAAATCTTGTTCCTTGCATTATTTGGAAAATATGTCTTTTTTTCATTGTTTTCCAACTGGCAAAGATTTCATGAACTGAAATTTCCATTTATAAAAAGATTTTATAATTCCCGTAGTGAAACGTCAGTTGGTTTTAGGATGTGCTTTCCAACCCACAATAGAACACTTAAAAAATTATACCTGCTTACCTTTAGAACCTTGGGACAGAAGACACCAGCTGTTTAATGCAAGCTGCATTCCTTAACAGTTCCCTGGAGGAAACACCGGAAGATGCCATACCATTTGGAAACTAGAGATTTCAGAACATAATGTGGTAAAATTAAGACATTTTCTCAGTAGAAGCTGTACATATTCCTGAACGCCACTGAAAAAAGGGACTTATGATCATTATTCACACTTATATGACCGTAGCAGCATCCCCATGGTCAAGCGATCAAGATTTGGATGCTTGGCAACTGACTCGTATTTATGTCAGTTGCAGTGTCCAGGAGTCATGTGATCATCTTTTGCGACCTTTTGACAAGCAAAGCCAGGTTCATTTAACAACAACGTGTTGCTAACTTAACTGCAGTATTTAACTTAACAGCGGTGGCAATAAAAGTCATAAAACAGGGCAAAACTCACTGAACAAATTTCTCACTTAGCAACATAAATTCTGGGCTGCGTTGTGGTCGTAAGTCGAGGACTACCTGTCTTTATGGCCTAAGACAGTGTTTCTCAACCTTGACAATTTTAAGGCATGTGGACTTCAACTCCCAGAATTCCACAGCCAGCAATGCTGGCTGTGGAATTCTGGGAGTTGAAGTCCACATGCCTTAAAATTGTCAAGGTTGAGAAACACTGGCCTAACATCAACCACAATGAAAGAAGATAAAGGTAGGAAAGGGGCGGGAAGCTAAATTAAATCTTTCTCACAGACATCTGGCTTTCTGGGTAGAAGAAAGAAGAAGAACGTGCTTTTGTGCCTTCTTTCCCCCAGTGCTTCTCAACGAGATGGGTGGGTTTCCAGCCCAGCATTCCCCCCAGCCAGGGGGATTCTGGGAACTGAAGTCCGCCCTTTTCCAAGTGGCCAACGTTGAAATCAACTAAACCGTTGTTTCTCAACCTTGACAATTTTAAGGCATGTGGACTTCAACTCCCAGAATTCCACAGCCAGCGTTGCTGGCTGTGGAATTCTGGGAGTTGAAGTCCACATGCCTTAAAATTGTCAAGGTTGAGAAACACTGATACTAAACCAACCCGGGGATGATGGGAACTGTAATCTACGCTCCTCTGGAAAAGAGATCGCCTTGGTGTCCCAAGGATGGGTCCAATCCCCGGCAACCACAAAGCCCATGGGGCTTGCCTGCCAAGGCTCCTCCTGATCTCTGGTCGGCAGAGGCGCGANTTTTTAACTCTCAGAATTCCCCAACCCCAAATGATAAATAGGTAGGTAGGTAGGAAGAAAGAGAAAGAAAGAAAGAAAGAAAGAACTCCCCAGGACCAAAGTGTGTGGATTTTTAACTCTCAGAATTCCCCAACCCCAAATGATAAATAGGTAGGTAGGTAGGAAGAAAGAGAAAGAAAGAAAGAACTCCCCAGGACCAAGATGTGTGGATTTTTAACTCTCAGAATTCCCCAACCCCAAATGATAAATAGGTAGGTAGGTAGGAAGAAAGAGAAAGAAAGAAAGAACTCCCCAGGACCAAGATGTGTGGATTTTTAACTCTCAGAATTCCCCAACCCCAAATGATAAATAGGTAGGTAGGTAGGAAGAAAGAGAAAGAAAGAAAGAAAGAAAGAAAGAAAGAAAGAAAGAACTCCCCAGGACCAAAGTGTGTGGATTTTTAACTCTCAGAATTCCCCAACCCCAAATGATAAATAGGTAGGTAGGTAGGTAGGAAGAAAGAGAAAGAAAGAAAGAAAGAAAGAAAGAAAGAAAGAAAGAAAGAAAGAAAGAAAGAAAGAAAGAAAGAGAACTCCCCAGGACCAAAGTGTGTGGATTTTTAACTCTCAGAATTCCCCAACTTATAGATAGATAAATAGGTAGGTAGGAAGAAAGAGAAAGAAAGAAAGAAAGAAAGAACTCCCCAGGACCAAGATGTGTGGATTTTTAACTCTCAGAATTCCCCAACCCCAAATGATAAATCGGTAGGTAGGTAGATAGATAGGTAGATAGATAGATGACGGACAGACAGACCAACCCAGGACCAACCAAGATGTGTGGATTTTTAACTCTCAGAATTCCCCAACCCTGCGTGATAAATTGTTAGTTAGGTAGGTAGGTAGGTAGGTAGGTAGATAGATAGATAGATAGATAGATAGATAGATAGATAGATAGATAGATAGATAGATAGATGGATAGATGGATAGATAGATGATTGATGGATAGATAGATAATGGATGGATGGATGGATAGATAGATAGATAGATAGATAGATAGATAGATAGATAGATAGATAGATAGATAGATAGATAGATAGATAGATCTCCCCAGGACCAACCAAGATGTGTGGATTTTTAACTCTCAGAATAGGGGTTGGGACGCACTATTTAGCCATGTATTTATTTATTTGTTTGTTTGTTTGAGGGGTCCTGGTATAGTTCCTGTGTAGAAGAACCATTCAGAGGAGGATAGGAAGGAGAAGTCCACACCTCCCCTGTACTATCCTCACCTTTCGTTTTGATAAGTTAAATTTAAATTTTACTAATTTAATGTTATAACTAAAGTGAATATTAAAATTGTGTTACAAAAAGGAAGAAGAAGCTGGACTGAAAGTGACCTAAGTCCACTATCTCATTATCCCTGGGAAAAGTTCAGTTTACTAAGGGAATTTGGGGTCCCTGTAAAATGGCAAATGAGAAAAGGCTCAGAATAAGCGTGGGAGAAAGGAAAGGGATAGGGTTGCCAGGTTTGCTTCCAAAAAATAGCGGACAAGCCGGGGGGTGGTGGTGTTTAAGTAGTAAAAAAGTAGACTGTACAGCTTTAGATTACGTACCATTTTATCATAAAGCTTTTGAATAAAAAAAAAATGTCCACTATTTTGTGAAAAAAAATAGTGAACATAATGTGAAAAAAGTGGACTGTCCGCTCAAATAGTGGACACCTGGCAACCCTAGAAAGGGAGAGCAACTAAGGTGGCCCTAAGAAAACGTTCAGCAGACCCCCTGTAAGCAGACGGGAGTAACTGAGTAGGAAAACACACTCACAGAGATTTGGGGGCTGTGTTCCACCGGCTGAGCTTAAGCCAAAGATCAGTAAATTGTCTTATCAGTAAATTGTGTAAAAAAAAAAAAAAAAGTAAGCTATTTCCCTGGAGAATGCCAGTTCCCTTATTCAGTGGAAAGAAAATGAAAAAAAAAGTTGCTTTGTATTTTACCGGCATGCACTGGAGCTTTGCCTTTGGGAGAAAAAAATATTTCACGTGCACGTTAAGTAAGAGGTAATTTTACATAATTACATATTTTTTGAGGAAGGTGAAGAGAGAGAGAGAGAAAAAAAAAGAGGGGGCACCCAGATTTGAACTGGGGACCTCTTGATCTGCAGTCAAATGCTCTACCACTGAGCTATACCCCCAGCTGCCTGTTAGCTGCTTTCTAAGAGGCTTAGTTACAGCTGTTCGTTCTTTCCTCACTTCCCTTCTGGCTCTTTTCCAGCAATGAACTTCTTATTGCAAGGCGAAGCAACCGTTTTACTTCCTGCTACGGGAATAGAGCTCAGTGGTAAAGCATTCGGCGGCAGCTCATTTTTCTAAGTGTTTGGTTAGGAAGAGCAAAGAGAGAAGATTGGGATGCAATAGAGGAACTGGAGGCAGGCTGCCCAGGGAACACATCTGCACAATGCAGTAGGCTTTGCCTTAAACCCAAGAGCAATAGCCAAATAGCAGATGGGCAGCCCTACAAATTGAATAAAGAAATAAATACATGCACAGTGCCACTGAAGTAGGGCAATCTCTCTTGCCCAGTCAGCATCTCAGCCACTGTAGTTATTGAACACTTTCTCTCTCTGTGTGTGTGTGGGGGGGGTTCACTCCCTGTGCCAAGATGCCCAGCTAGGTGGCAGTGCCAGAATCATCTCAAAAAGCTAAGCAGGGTTGGATCTAGATAGTGATATGGATGGGGTTCAGCTAGGACAGTCTTGGGTGGTTGAATACAAAGGTAATAATAATAAAGTTGGAAGGGACCTTGGAGGT